CCAAGAAATGTAAATTAGCTCTCTGCTACTTATATAAGCTGTATGAAAGAATTATCCTGCAAAACATAGCGAAAACGGTTGACTTAAAAATCATACCATACCAAACTGGTTACAAACCTGGGAGCACCTACAGGGAGCACCTATCAGCCAAGTTCTAGCTCTGACACATCGAAAACGGATATGAACACAGCACTAAGATCCACAGCGTAGGCGTTAGCCAGAGACATACCAAACAATCCTAAATACACAGCAAAATTGTTAAAACTCTTGAATATGAAATTATTGACACACAATTTGGCTTTAGAAATAGTATGGCCACAAGAGATGCTTTGTTCGACTAAATGTTGAAAAGACATTTGATAAGATTCACCATAAAAAGCTTGTAGATTATTAAAAGCAAAAATATTGACAGTTGTGATATCAAAATTATACCTAATCTATATTGGAATTAAATTGCCAAGGTATGAGTTGACAACGAGTACACCTGAGATATTAAAATACAGAGACAAGTCCGCCAGGGTTACGTGCTGTCCCCACTACTCTTCATGTCTACAATGAAGCGGTATTTAAAGAAGTGTTATCAGATTCAGTAGAGGGTATATCTATCAATAGAGAAATTTTGAATAACTTACATTTCCACATCACATGATGAGAAGGCAGAAATACTAAGCAATTCGAGGAAAGCGAAATGTAGGAAGACGAATGATATCCTGGCATAGAAACTTGGGGGAATGGTTTGAATGCAGTAGTGAAGTGCAGTACTATTTACAGCGACGTTCAACGGGGTTCGCATAGCCATGACGATTCCCAACCTTCGATAGAAGATGAAACTTGAAGAAGCGGAAACACAACATCAATTCTGACCAAATTAACAAATGAGGAAATTGCTCACACATTACAAAAATTATATAAAGTGATTTGACTATAGGATATCCCTAAAGTATTTGGATAGTATTAGTAGAATTAGAGATAAGAGAAGACTAAGAGGAAGATCTCCAACAAGATGAGCAGACCAAATGAAGACTAGTGGGAAAATCCATATAGCAGAAAATCGCAGCCAATGGACACAGCAAGCTAACATAGTTAGAGTGTCACCACGCCCTGACAAGGTTTGAAGGAATGAGAAGGAGCATAGTTTTAGGGAACATTTAACGCCAAAATAATTCTCACCTTATACTAAAAATCGTTAAATATAATGTTCACGGAGTGAGAGAGGAAGGTCTACGCAGTGGCGTTATGATGTAGGAGACACATCGTTACAAGCAAATACATTGTTTACCCGTTTCATTCTGTTTAAATATCTTTTGGTAATGAGTACATTATTATTTTGTTTTTTGGAATAATTTCTACATAAATTAGAATTTCAAATTTATGTCAAAAAAATTCAAATGTCAAGTGTTTGCCCAACAATATATGTTTCATAAATATTAACCTCGTGGATTGATTTTGTCAAAAAATATAAAAAAAAACAGATTTAAAGAATATCTTGTAGGAATACTGTCCTGTAAGCCCAAGAAAGTTAATTAGATTTTAGTATACATTATACTGAATACGTTCATGACCTATTTCACAAAAATAGACACATTCAGGCTGTCTTGAAATTAATAGGTTTCACAAACTATTGTTACTAAAGGCAAGCTTTCACAAAGATTCGCTGTTACGGATTAATATTTTAATAGAAGGCTAAACCTTTTTTTCTTCTTACATTGTGGTATAGAAAACGTTAATGTTTATGACACGGTAAAAATTGACACTGTCTTGTGTTAATGGAAATTGTTACGTGGAGTTCAATTTTTGAATAATTTTTTCATTAAGCCCGTTTATCAATTTAAAAACAATTGTTTTGTGTTTTTTTATTCTAATACAAAGGGCTATACCATAAATTGGAATACCCCAAATATTACTATCAAAGACTTGAATCATACACCTCACTCATGTCAATAAAGTCACGATAGAGAATATGGTAGCCAAAATAATATCCAACGATCGATAACGATCATGGAACTAGAAGAAGAAGATACACCTCAGAAAGATATTTTCCCTTCTTTCTCTTCCACAAATAGACTTTAATCCGATTCATGACTGGAAGCAAAATCAATTCTTATATTTAAACTTTACAAATATTAAAAATAATACAGTTGGCATAAAAAATAACCATTTTCCATATTTAAACACAGTAAAATATTTAGCTATGCCATTGGACGCCAAGTTTCGCTGAAGAGATCATCAAAAGAAAAACTATGAGTCAAATACACAAAAATGTGTTGGCTAATTGGACGAGATTCCACTCTGTTTCTATAGATGAAGCTATTACTGTTTAAACAAGTTTTAAAACCAGTATGTATAGCTACATATCAGATAAAAATAATAAACGAAGACGTTAGTGATATATGAGTGAGACAGGATTGGAAAAGAAATCGAATAGATAGGAACAATAGGTAGGCGAAGCATCCATATTACAACTAATGAAAATGGAAGTCTACTGGACCATAAGCTTAACCTTTTTCCCTAAAAGTAGACATCCACAGGGCCACATGGCTCTTACCGGATTGTCGAAGAACCCACCAGATAGATTATAAGTTAATATAGAGAAGGGCGGGAACAAACGTAATAGATGTGAGAGCTAAGAAGAGAGCACTATGCAGTATATGCAGCAGCAATAAAATTTAAAATATAAACAGAATAAAAACATCAAAGAAAAGAAAAAAGAACTGGTTTGATGAAAAATTTAAACAAGCAATATACAAGAGAAATGAATTATACATGCATGATACTCACAGAAGAACAAGAGAAAGGCGCGAGAAATTTTTAGAACGAAGAAAGAATGACACAATATTCAGAAGAAAGAAGAGAAGATACCAAAATGACCAAACACTAAAAATGGCGGAAGATTTCAATCAGGGTAACCTACTAATCTCTGTAGGAATAGCGAAGAAGAAATAAGTGACGATGCAACAATAAAAGTCTGGTCTGCTAACAGAGCAAATATAAATGAACTCAGCCCACGTAGTGGCGGATTTGTAGATCAGAACCTGAATAATGAATTAACATATTCACCCACAATAAAAGAAATAATGAATGGCATTAAAGCATTGAAGAATAATAAGGCCCCAGGTATTGATAACATACCAGATAAAATTTTCAAAATTGGAGAACACACACTGAGAAATACATTTCATAGACTAATATCAGACGAGTGGAACACAGAAGAAATTCTCATCATCATCATCTTTGGCTCGACAATCCTCTGTGGATCTTGGCCTGCTCTAAGATTCGTCGCCATTCTGTTCGGTTTTTGGCAACATGTTGCCATCTTCTGATTTTTAATATTCGTAGGTCGGTTTCTACTCCATCTAACCACCTAATTCGCGGTCGGCCTTTGCTTCTTGTTCCTACAGGTGTTCCTGTGGTTAGCTTTTTAGCAATGGTATTTTCTGGCATTCGTATTATGTGTCCAGCCCATCTAAGTCGCTGTGTTTTAATGAACGTTATGACATCTGGCTCATCAAAGAGCTGATACAATTCAAAATTATATCTTCTGCGCCACTGCCCTTGGTCGTTTACAGCTCCAAATATTTTGCGGAGTATTTTACGCTCAAATATTCCCAAAAGTCTTTCATCTTTCTGCGTTAATGTCCATGTTTCTGCTCCATATGTGAGGACCGGCCTCAGCAATGTTTTGTATATAATAATTTTAGTTCTTCTTTGAATGTTTCTTGAGTGGAAATGCTTTTGGAGTCCATAGTATGCTCTATTTGTAAGATTTATTCGTCTTTTGATTTCTTCGCTTGTTTTATTGGTAGCAGTCAATAGCGACCCAAGGTATGTGAAGTTGTCAACACGTTCAAAGGTATGAAGAAATTCTAGAAGACTGAAAAAAAGCTATAAAATGCCCAATCCACAAGAAGGAAGACAAATTAAAAAACTGCAGAGGCATATCCTTACTCTGTGTACGTAATAAGGTGTTTACATGGGTCATAAACAGGATTTAAAATTGAATCACTTCACAAAGCAAATCGTAGAAGACTACCAGGCTTGTTCCCGTTTTTGTGGAAAATACTTTAAATCAGAATCATGAGTGTATCTTAAAACCTACTATACTTCCATTTGACATTGCAGCAGGCCTTGATTTACATGATTTACATGTATGATAATAAAAGGCCAGCAAGAGATATTATTCTGGATATTGCTGTACAACTTATTAACTCAAAACTAAATTGATCATTTAATTTTGATGAATTAAATTATGAAATCCATATCAAAGGTCGACGAGTGATATATCAGCGGAGTTAGCTATATATTGAAATGTAGACGAATTTATAATTGACTAATCAGGCATATTATGGACTAATCTGCAAAAAACAGGTTTACCTAATTTACTTCGGTCACATAGCTAGAAGATGGGGACCATGAAACTATTGGTAGTAGAAGGAAAAGTAGAAGGCCGAAGACCAAAGGAAAGATCTCCACAAGGATGGGTAGACCAAATGAAGGTCCTGGTGGGAAAATCCCTACATAAAGCCGTACACAGGATCGCAACCAATGGAGATTAGCAAGCTAACAATAGTTAGAATGTTACCACACCCTAACAAGGACTCAAGGAAGAAAGAGGACGAATCAGGTATTATTACGACATATCACTTTTTAAAATTCAGTTGAAATTAATGTACATATAAGAAAATACTTTATATTCCTAATATATTATTAATAATGTACTTTTAGTCGTAATTTAGAATTAAGGTAAATCAAATTTCTTATTACAATACTTAGCAATAGGTATAACATTGAATACAATAACATAGGAACGAATAAAGGACTGTGGAAGACAATAAACTAAATTTGAAATAAAAAGAATACCCTGTAGTTAAAAGTAAACATGATAGACAACAAGCAAGTCGTACAAGAAAGCACAATTTTTGACATCTACTTATAACTAAATTATCTAACAGAGACTTGAAGAAACTTTCATATAAAAAATTCATTCGAGTAAAAGAAACGTAAGTTGTTTGAACGATTATTCTTATTGAATACAAAACAATCATTTATAAATATATAAAATTAAAAATTATAAAAATATGTTTTTGAAATCATGATATCCATTCATTGTTTTAGAGGCAGTGACCATAAACCTTGTGTTGACTCTATAAAACATTACCCTTTAATTTATTTCTATTTCAACCAGAAGCTGGTTGAGGAGGATTCCATCTTAAACACGTGGGGTCAACCTCTTTCAACATGGATCCCCGTTTCTTCACTCTTTCCACGTATTCGTCGAGCACATCCTGTTTCTTTAGAATGATATGTTTACCCTTCCAATACTTCATCATTCCTAGAGCTTGTAAAGTAGATACGATGTCATAAGAATGTATTGCCATCTCTTGGCTGATGTCTTTGACAGATAAGGTGGTGCCAGCTCTGGAGCAGAGGTATCCCAAGAGGACGTCTTTCCAATAGGAACGGTATGAAATTAAGCCTAAGTCGCTGAGAGGTTTTTCAGGAGAGCCGATTTTGCCTTCTACTCTGGTTAAGAGGTAGCCTGGAATAGAAAAACGAATTTAGGTAAATGAAAAGTTTTTTGATAAGTTTCTGATTTGATAAATTCATATTTGTTAAATCAGATTTTGTTTTAATAACAAAAAAAACTCAAATTATACTTAAAACATATTGAAAATACATAAAATACAGAAAGACTTAGGAATCGGTGATCGTTGACACGTGCAAATGTTTTTTAACAGCTACACTGGTTGGTAAACTTTATTGACTTCTTTAGTGTACTAGTGTCAATTCAATCAGAACGTTACTCCAGTTTTCAGTTTGTTCAGTGGAAAGTGTACAAAAATAAATTATAAATAAGTGTTAACAAGGGCAGTTACTTCCAAGTTTAATGTAATATCGATTTTTTTGGTAATTTTTGATACACGAATACATGGTTATACAAAAACCCTAAGAAAGTAATTTTTTTATTTTTAATTGAATTTTGATTTACAAAAATGTTACCAATTAGACGTAGCCACTTAGGTCATAGAATTTCCAATGCTACAGGTACAAAAATATACGAGTTAATCAAACTGACGAGGAACGCGGAGCGCGAAATGACGTTGAACAAAATCGATATGATCGATTATAAGATATAACGTGGCAATGGATTAGAGCTTACAGCAAATTGTTGCTATTGAAGAAATGAACATTGTGTATCCATATTGCAAGACATTTAAGATGAAGTATTTTAATTGTGATACGCCAGTGGCCAAGTCAAATTCACACCATATATTGGTTACCGGAAACTGACCAGATTCTATTCATATTTTGGCTCTTATATTACCTATGACAATGACAAGACAAAGTCTGTCGGGTGCACTAGTCTAATATAAAATTGAAATTATATTAAAATAACTTTCTTAGGCTTATATAAAAGGAGGATCGATTTAACAAAATATTTCACTATTGAAAATAGCTAATACCTACATTAAGTTATTTTATGAGTTATGAGAATGAGAGAATAATATCCATAAAAAATCAAAGTACAAAAAATTTATTTGTATGTACACCTATATTAATTATTAAGATCAATGGCATGATATTATGACTTGTTAGATACAGACTCTTGTATTAAAGTTGATTGAAATTAGTTATTATTCTTAATGTATGTAAACTAATAAATATATTTCGATTAGCATATTTCGAAAATACAAAGTTTGACCAATCCAGTAGCGTACTATTTTAACTCTAAATAACTTGAAAAATCTCTCTAAATTGGTAGCAATACTGTAAAAATTGTAGTATATATATATATATATATATATATATATATATATATATATATATATATATATATATATATAGTGCTAGTCAAAAGTCCGTTCCCCCTCGTATCTTTTGAACGGTTATTGTTATAATAGTGAAATTTTGAGGAAGATAACAAACAGACGTAGGTGTCAACTAGTTATAACAGTTCACGTAATAGTGACAGATGACGTTACAGCGCCACTGTGACAAATAATTTTAACCCTGTAGACCCTGTAAAATGTTTTAATTCGACGTCTTCCGCTTATGTATTTGAACATTAGTTTTTTAACATAAACATTCGAGTGGTTTCTCAAAATATTCAAAAAGGAAACATTTGAATTCCGAACGAGAAGGCCTACTCTAGGTGATTATTTGTGCAAATCTCAATTGCACTAAATAAAAGCAAACGCGTCCTCTTTAAATCCTTTTTTTTTGTGTAAGAATTGCGTTTAACAGATAAGCGCAATAAGTATCAGTTTACAAATTGCCAAATTTCTGTGCTAGATTTCTCTAAATTCCACCAATCGCTTGCTAGATACAATTCGTCATGAGGGCAGTGAGTATTTACTTGTGCCCAGTGTAGTGCAGTGTTGGTGCTTTTTCAAGAAGTTCATCCTGTAATTTTGTTTGCATGTTTTGATGTTTTTTTGACTATATTTTTTGTATAAAACGCTAAATTTTGTATATAGATTGTAAGAAGCAAAAATTCTACATATCTACAAAGGTCATCGAGAGAAATTTATATTTAACTTTCTATAAATATGTAAAATAATATGTCCAAGTAAATCTATGTTTTAGCTTATAATAAATTTGTAATTTGTACTACATAATACCAATATTTATACACACGATTAAAACGAGAGCTGCGTCAAAGAAAACAAGCCGTAAAAACAACCGAAATGAAATTATCAATATCCATAGAACCATAAGGGAAAAATGGGTGGGACCGTTTAAAAACAAGATTATAAAACAAGAAAACGATATTCAGGATATCATATGATAAGGGAATGAACAAGAAGGAACTGGAACCTACAAGTAATAAGAATGGAGGATGGTGGAATACTCAAAATCGTAAGAGAAGTAAAGTCAGCAGGGAGATTACCAGGAAGAGTATTAAAGATATCGTGAAATAGCTGATCATCGGAATTGCAAATATAATGTTCAGCAATGCAATGTAATGTGCAAGACGAAGAAGAAGAGGAACAAAAAGAGTTTGAAGAGTTGTGTACAGAAAATTTGGAAATACTTTATATTAATTTTATGAGATATTAAAATGGGACGGCATTTCCAAAATACAATTTTGAAAATAATGAATAATGACTGAATAATGGCACAACAATATTTTCTAATTTATCGGTAAAAATCACAAACGAGGAAATTTAAATTACAGTTACCGTAAGGAAATTCCCTCGAAATCGATGTTGAAAACTACCACTTTCCCAAAAGTCATCCTGAGATGTGGTTTCCTCTATCGACCGTACCCATTAACTTGTGCGTGCAAACCTTATTGCCGGCAGGGGGATGAAAAATATACCAAAGGTATTATTAAGGCGGTAAATTAGAGAGTGTTTTTATTTGAGTTGATATCGTTAATAGGTATATTTACTAAACTTTCTATATTTATGTCAAAACATACAAAATTTGAATTATTATTAAAATGGGGCGTGATTTCAAGGCTTCTAAAAAATAGGGGACAAGTCACGTAAGGTAACACCCAAAACACCCTCTTTACGTTTACCATACGATTAAAAAACTGAGAGAAGATATATTAGCGATGATGTAAATATCAACAAAAGATCAGCTGCAAACTAAACTATCACAAGCCTTTGACTGCATTGGAAGAAATAAATTATTTAGTGAAATGAAAAATCAAGATGTACCAGCAAAATTAATTAGATTAACAAAAATGACCATGGATGGAGCTCGACCTAAAGTAACAACAGAAAAAGGTAGCACAAAATCAATTGCAATAGAAACAGGGCTGCGACAAGGCCTTTCCCTGTCAACCACATTATTCAACATAGCAGTACAAGGAACAGTCAAGGCCAGCAAAATTAAAGAAACTATAGCTCAATCTTCAATACAAATAGTTGGATATGCAGATGATCTAGTTCTTATGGGAAAAGACAAGGAAAGATTAAAAGAAGCAGTAACAATCTTGACAAAAGAAGCACGGAAAAGAGGTCTAGAAATTAACCAAGGCAAAACACAATATCTACTCTGCTCTAGAAGAGAAGATAACAGGATGAGAGACATCAAAATAGAAAACTACACTTTTGAAAGAGTCCAACAATTTAAAATATTTGGGAGTAATAGTGAATGGCCAAAACAAGAGAAGTGAAAAAGTAACGGAACGAATACTAGCAGGCAACAAAACATACTGGAGATAACATAGGTTTATGAAGGACAAGAACTTTTCCAGAAATACAAAACTGAAAATATATAGAGTTGCAATCAGACCAGTAGTTACGTACGCGGCTGAGACAATGTGTCTCACGGAAAAGATGAAGAAAAATTGAGAATTTTCGAAAGGAAATCCTCAGACGGATTATGGGCTTGATAAGAATGGACAACGGAGAAATGAGAAGAAGAATGAACCATGAACTAAGAGACATAATGAAGGGAGAAGATATAGTTAGATATATTAAAGTACAGAGCCTGAGATGGCGGGAACACATAGAGAGAAGGAAAAACGACGAACTGATTAAGAAGATTACCCAGAGAGAGATGGGAGAACCAGATCATGAGAGATATCCAAATTCTGGAAGTGAGAAACTGGAGGGAACTATGCACATATCGAAATAAGTGGAAGAAAATTGTAACGAAAGCCAAGTCATACAACAAACTTTGACAACATACACGTGGAATGCGGTGTGATTCACCGCAATAAGTGAATTATTGAGCTCTAAGTAAGAGCGGCAAACATTCCACTCGGAATGAAAAGCACTGAAGATGATGATGAATAAATAACCTTGGCTTACTCCTTTTATAACCCAAAAACTTTCACTTAATTATGAATTCTAAAGTCAATTCACTCTGATAGGAGTGATGAGGAGGTAAAATATGAATAAAAGTTTTTGGGTGATTTAAATTCAGATCGAATCTACTACGATTTCCTCATGGTATCCATATATTTTTTATCTGGAAGCCGTTTGTTATAAATCGCTCTTTCTGTATTTCGGTTACTTTCATGTATTTTAACCTTTTCTAATCAACAAATATATAATTAAATTATTTTTTAAAACTGACTTTTTCAGATAGTCCGCTGACTTTTTCATATAATCCTATCGTCAAAAACTTGACTTTGAAAAGCTATGGATCAAGTTTAATAAGAAGTGAAAGACGACGAACCAACTCTCCGGGAAAGGTGAATATTCAAGACGAGTACGACCGCTCAGTCACCTTTTTAACAAATTAGGCGGCATTTGTCGCCTGCCGGTCGGGAGGCGGTCGTTGCGGCGCAGACCAAAACAATCGAAAACGAGAGATAGAGGAAGAAGGAGAGACCTACCACTCTCTGCCGCCGCGGCGGCATATTCCCGGCCCGGCGCTAACCGATCGGCGCGAACGACGTTGCCATCATAACCATGTTTTTTTTTTGTTTATGCATTAGATCTTTTGCGACTGAATACACCAGCATAAAAATAAAAAATAAATAACTAAAAATTTAATTTTTGACTTTCCTTTCCAGCTTCAATGGTTTTTTAACGACTTCTACTACAAGTTCGACTATTAATTTTGCCATTGACT